AGACATGTTTATTTGGTTAGCAGGATCATAGTTGATAAGATAGATATCGGAAAGATCGTAGTTGATAGGAGACCGGGGTCAGAAATACTATTGTCTGTTGATGGAGGTCGTAAGGACCATAGTAGGCGACGGAGGTCGGAAGGACCGTAGTCGGCAGGAGATCTGGGTCTGAAAGATAGTTGTCTGTTGATGGAGGTCGGAAGGACCATAGTAGGTAACAAAGGTCGGAAGGACTGTAGTTGGCAGGAGATCGAGGGTCAGAAAAATCGTAGTAAAAGGGATGTACTTCAAGAGAACTCTCGGAGTCAACTGGTGTCCCAGCAGAAGTCCGGGCATCAAGTGGTGGTCCGGCGGAGCAACGACGTCATGCGGTGGTTCGGCGCAGGTAAAGTGGTGGTCCTGCGGAGCAACAATGTCAGACGGTGGTCCAGTGGAGGTGAGGGCCTTAAGTGGTGGTCTAGCGGAGCAACGACGTCGGGCAGTGGTCTGACGGAGGTGAGGGCCTCAAGTGGTGGTCCGACGGAGCAACGACGTCGAGCGGTGGTCCGGCGGAGATGAGGGCCTCAAGTGGTGGTCCGGCGAAAGTTCGGTGGTGATCGAGGAGGAGCTTCTTCCTTCTCTTCCTTCACTTCTTCCTTCTTCTCTTCTTACCTCGAGCCCCCTTTTCAAGAGAAATGAGGGGTCTATTTATAGATTTATGGAGTGGCATGACCCATAAATAGGTAAGAGATCAAGGGTAAATGGGGAGTGATTGGATGGACGGTTGATGTTGAATCCCTTGACCATGGACCATTTGATGGACATTTTAATGTCTTAGTGATGTCAGATTCTGGTGATCTTAGGCTCGTTGGATTCATCTCGTCAAGCCGCTCGATTCGACTATAAGCATGTCATGTTTGAATACCGTTTGGTAACCCAAATTGGTTTGGACTCATTTGGGCTCGGATTGAGTCGGATTTGGTGTCGTTAGGTTTGTATTTCCGAGACGTTCAGTTTGACTTTAAGTTTACTGAAATCAGAGTTTGGATGGTCCCAATTTTAATTTTGGAAGTTTCCAACTTGATTTTGCATCGAGATTCATGCCTGATCAAGATAATTTTTTGAGGACGTATCAGTAGCAGTAGCAATCAGTAAAGTGGGTGTCAAAACAATAAGTCTATAAATTAGGGAATACACAATGCTTTTTTGGCCTTTACAATCTGTTTTGCAATAACTGCAATGCTAGTCAAAAATGTAAATTCATTGCTAGTACGCATATGATCAATAATATAAGTAGATACAAGTGACACAAGATCAACCATAGAGAAATATGTTGGATATAACTCTGCAAGACGAATTAATTTTCCCTAATCATAAGCAGAGAACATCATGCCTAGCTCCGCCATTGAATGTAAGTCATTGTTTATAAGATTGTTGTATGTCATATACATCAACTCTTGCTCTAGACATTAGCACTAAGATCTATGCTAGAGTCCCTGGTCCTTGACATTCCCATCATAAAAAAAAAGGGATTAAACAAATATGAAACAATACCCAAAGACAGCTCTCATATCATAGGACACTTCCAACTTTAACTACTCAATTTTTTTTGGGGACATTTAGGCCAATTAAGGCAAACTCACACACACAACGCATACACATAGACTCGAACCTTGGACCTCTTAGTTGGAAGCTTAAGCTCTCAACCAATAGGCCAAAGAGAGTTGTGTTTAACTACTCAATTCATTTGATATGGTTTATATTTATGATATTGTATCAACACCTTCCCCACTCAACGTTAAAAGACCTCTTTTTTTAACCGATGAATAACACCAATGAAATCATCGAAATTGAGTCAGATACAGTGATTTTTTTTCTTGTAAGGATTTTTTTGAAGTAAAAACTCTATTCATCTCTTTCAAGGTCTTGTTCATATCTATCTCTCTATTATCGCAAATATTTCAGCACACAACAATTATAATTTTACAAAAAATTTGGGCATGAATGCTTAATACATGAAAAATACTCATAATATATGTACATATAATTCTTAAAGAAATGCCTTTTTAACTATTGAATGACAGAAATATATTTGAATTGTCGAAACTAACCAAATTACTCTAATCAGACCAAAAATAGAATGTCAATGACTTAACCATGTAAACACAGTATATTCCAATCAATGATAAATCTCTTTTTTAAAAAATCCATTAAAATAATTTCTAAGATTTTTTATAAGGGTAAATAGGGCTATTTTCATTTAAAAAACAATTTTATATTTGCTTTTAAATTTTGCCAAAATTATATTCAATTATTGAGAATAATTTTCAAATTTTTTATCAATTAAACAAGCTGACAACAAAGGAAAAGTCATCCCAGAAGGTTCAACACGAAAGACCTGTGTAACATGGAAATAAATAAATAATTAAGCCATTTTCAAAATTTTACATTTATGGACTTCTCAGGGTTGAAAGCATATGCAAATATTTGTATAAATTATTTCATATATGCCCAGGCTTGTCAAAATATATAAATTTATTTAAAATATATGACATTGGACATATATGAAATATTATATAAAAATATGATCTAGCTTCCAGCCTTTTTATATTTGCAAATTGAAGCCCTGATTAGCTATTTTTTATATTAGAAGATAATGGATCAAATCCATTACATTTATATTAAGATAGTTCAGTTTGAATATAATTTTTTGTTATTTTTTTTAAATATTTGTGATGAAAAATTTATATTTAGATATATTAAAGCATGATAGCTATAACAATATTATTGTTTGATTTTTAATTACAACAATTAATTTTTTTTAATCAAGACATTTCTACCTCTACATTAGATAACTATCTCAAAATTATTATTTGAGTTTGGTTTCTTGATGCTTTATTTTTAAGATAATATTCATAATTTTGCTTAGTTACTATTTTTTTGTTATTTTCTAAATTTTTTCTAAAAATCTTTGTAGTGAAAGTCTGTTTTTTACAATCTAGCAGTCGGGCAAATTATTACGTCCGGTGTTCAGATTCGTCCGGACACCAATTCATATGTGACACATCATCAAAATGCACCGGGACCCAGTATATTCAGATGACATGGCGCATCTGGATTGGGTGTCCAGATGTCCGGTGACTAGACGTATTAATTCACCAAGCTGTCCAGGCCTTATTTGGTAAAGCTTATGTTTTTCTCTGTATACTTTGAAAAGCCTTTTTTTTTTTCAACCACAATTTTAAATATGCTTTTAAGAAACTAGTTTTTAGAGATAAACACTACAGGAAAAACGCTGAAAACCGGCGGTTTTTTCCGGCGGTTAGTGTAGATTTACCGGCGGTTTTTAACTTTACCGGCGGTCTCACGGCGGTTTGTTAACCGCAGGTAAAAACGGCGTAGGAAACCATTTCCGACGGCTTTTTACCGGCGGTTTATTTTTGCGGCGGTTTGCCGGCGGCCAATACCGCCGGTGACTACCTGAATTTTAACCGTCGGTCTTCCGGCGGTTAGGCCGCCGGTATTGTAACCGCCGGTTAATGTTGATATCCGGCGGTTTACCAGCGGTTTATAAACCGTCGGTAATACCGACGGTGTATCGTAGCTAAGCCGCCGATTTAACCGTCAATACAGTCCGACGGCTGAACCGCCGGCGGAGCCGTCGGTAATACCGACGGTCTATAAACCGCCGGTGAAAACTGCCGGTATTTGCCATTTTTCCTGTAGTGAAAATTTTTTTAAAAAAAAACTGTTTGGAAGCTATCATCCAAACTTACGTTATTTTTATTGGCTATTTTTCCTTCCATAAAAACAATCAATAAGCTTCCTCAAACAAAGCCTACGTTACTTTTTCCACAATAACTTCACAGTCAACTTTATAAAATGTTGCAACCGTCCCAAAGAAACTCTAATAGGTTGTTTTGGGCAATTGCAGCTTTTTATAAAAATTATTATGAAGTTTTGCAGATCGAATACCATTAATTTAGAGTAAAATACCATTAATTTAGGAAAGTAAAAAAAGAAAAAAAGAATTAATTAGAGTTGAAAACTAAAAATTATTAATAGAATTGTTTGATACAATTTAAATTCATTTTACTTCATTCTATTCAATTCGGTTTTACTTTTACATATGATAAATATGAAAATATATATTATTTTCTAGGGGTGTCAATTTCGGATCACGGGTCGGGTTCGGGTCGGACCCGGAACTGACCCGGGTTCAAACGGGTCGACCCTAACCCGACCCGGTTAGGCAAACGGGTCGAAAATTAGGTGGCTTAAGATATATTATATATAGATAATTAGGTTCAATTTGATTTTCTTTGATTTATCAAAATTTAATATTTAAAAACTTAATATCTGCCTTTCTAAATAATTTTAAATAATTTTTATATTCCATTAAATATACTTCTTACTCCTTTAGTATTTTGAATACATAGAAATTTCATTTTTTTTTAATTGGGAGCTTAAGCTTTCAACAAAAAAATCATAAATTCAAATAATCAAAATCTTAAAAGAATAAAGTATTTTCAAAAATTTAGAAGTTGTTTGGTAAACTAAAAATGATGTGATATGCTAATAAACTAAAATAATATCTACATCCTTTTTGATTTTTCCAAGAAAAAGACCACAACCATTCATTTGAAATAGACAATTTGAACTCCTGAAAGAAAAAAAATTCTCTCATATTAACTCCCAATGGCATGTTTTAGATTATTTATTCAAAAACAATTTATTTTATGAGAAAAAGTAAATAAAAAATAATAGAATTTCATCATCGGTTATTTGAGGCACTCAATCAATGACTCAAAAAAATAAGTGATCGGATGAGTATGAGCGGGTACAGCATATTGGACCAATAGAACAAACTGGTACAAAGGATCAGGGTGCAGAAGGCCAAAATGAATTGCTCCTTTAAATCAATCTCCTAAAGAGCTGATCTTTTTGCTCTGGAGAAACCCTAATCCCTTTGCCGGCGTTCTCCTCCCTTCGGGAGAGGTTTTCCCCTCTCCCCCCTTCGGATGGCTTTCGATCCGAAGGATTTTCCAGGCCTTCCTGGCTCCTCCGCTCCTCCCGTTTTAGGGCTTTCTTACGCTGAAACAACTGCCTCCCCGACAGCCATTCCTGAGCCTTTCCCGGTAATTTTTTACCCGCCAAAACCTAAGCTCTCTTTTCGCGGGGATGATCTTTCTGAGGGTTCTTCGCTTTGGACCTTCTCGCTGGTCGGATACTCTCTGGGCCAGCGTCCTTACTACGAGCGGCTTTTAACGGCTATGAGAAAGGTTTGGCCTTTAAAAGGTGCGATCTCTCTGTTATCGCTTGCTGATGGCTTTTTTATCATTAAATTTTCATCCCAAGAGGATTATGATGCTGTTTGGTCTGGTGGGCCTTGGTTTTTACTTGGGAAACCATTCATTTTGCAAAAATGGTCTCCCAAGTTTAAGCCAAAGAGGGATGAGAATGCTTCCATTCCCATTTGGATAAAGATAGTTGATTTTCCTTTGGCTCTATGGACCCCTACTGGAATTTCAAAGATAGCAAGCTATATTGGTATACCATTGACTGTTGATTCTCTTACTGCTAAGAGATCTCGTCTTACTTTTGCACGTGTTTGCGTTCTTATTTCCAAAGATTCGCCCCTTCCTGAGGAAATCCCGTTGGAAATTGACGGTGAAGACTTAAATCTCAGAGTGGTTTACGACTGGAAACCCACTCCTTGTGAAGGATGTCGTTCCCTTGTTCATCCTTACTCTCTCTGCCCAAAGAATCCGAACCCCCCCAAACCCGCTATCCTTCCTCCACGTCCTCGTGGGAGAAGCTCCAGCCGTCCTCCTCGTCCCAATTCAAGGAATAATTCCAAACCTCCTTCGCAACCGCCACTCCTTGAACTCCCTCTTTCTACAAACCCACAAAACAACATTATTGCTGATACCAACCCCTCTGTTCAGCAAACCCAACCTGAATGCCAAGCCAATTTTTGTACCACTTCCGACCACATTGAGGACCCCACTCACACTGTTACCAATAAAGATAAGTCAATCATCATCCCCAATCTCAACTCACCAAATGAAGACTCCGCTCTGGAAGCTTCTTCTTCCACTGAAACTCCTTTGATCCCTAACATTCTCATTGGTTCATCCACTTTGAACCTTACCACCTCTAACAAATTCAAAGCCCTACTTGAGGAAGACCCCCCCACTTCCTCTCCCACTGAATTGGATTTCATCCCGCCAGTTTCTGAGAACCCTAACCTTAATATCCCTTCTCCGACTTCCTCATCCACTAAATCCTCAAATCCTCCTTCTACAAAATCGAATACCAAATCTACCCAATCCTCCCCTCCTTCTAAGAATACTAGAGGGAAATCCACCAAAAAAGCCAAAAATTCAAAATCTAAATCCTAATGTCTTATCCCAATTTAGCTTGTTGGAACATAAGGGGGTTTAACAGACCCGATAAAGTTTTGATGTGCAGAGATTTGGTTCGGGTTCAGAACCTGAAATTCTTATGTCTTTTGGAAGCTAAGATACTTCCTTCCTCAGCTGATGACGCTTGGTTTCTCAACTCTCACAGAGTTTTTGACAATGAATCGCATTGTCACAATTTTGGATGTTCTTCTTTAGGGAGGATTTGGATTAAATGGGACCCTTCATTTGTCTCCTTTACTCCAACTTTTCTCTCCTCTCAACTGATTCATGGGGTTATCTCTATGGGATCACTTCCCCCTTTTCAGGTTTCTGTCATTTATGCCGCTAACAATTTTGAAGACAGGGTTTCTCTTTGGAATAAAATTAGGGAGTTGGTCCCGTCTTCCCCGCTTCCTTGGTTGGTTATGGGAGACCTCAATTGCTACAGATTTCACAATGAGAAGGCTGGTGGTAACCCCGTGCCCACTAGCAAACTTCAAGAGCTTAATGGGACTATCTTTGACTGTGGTCTTCATGACCTTGCATCAGTTGGGTTTTTTTTCACCTGGCATAATCAGAGAGCAGACGACCCCATTCATATCAAGCTTGACAGAGTTTTGGTCAACTCCTGTTTTCTTGATCATTTCCCTTTGGCTCACTACAAGGTTGCTCCTCCTACCGGTTCAGACCACTCTCCCCTTATCACTTCCTTGTCCTCTAATAGCAGGTTGCCCAACCGGTTTTTATTTAAGAATTACTAGAAATTTATGGACGGCTTTTGGGATGAGGTCCTTTCAACTTTTTCTCAACCTACACATAAGGGACCCATATGTCATCTCCATCACTGTCTACAATCTCTCAAATATGCTTTAAGGAAAAGGGAGTGGTTTTCTTCCAATTACTTATCTAATCAAATTTTGGATCTTAAGAATAAACAGATTTTCTGTTTACAGCAAATTCAGAATACGCCATTGGATCTTACCTTGAACTCCTCATTGAAACAAATTAACAGCAATCTCACTAGTCTTCAAGCCTCTTGGGCTTCTTGGATTTCCCAACGTGCTAAAGCAAAATGGATGTCTCAAGATGTGGATGACTTAGGTTTCTTATATGCTAAAATTCGGGCCAGGAAAAACCACAACAACCTTTATGAAATTTCCGATGAACATGGCACTTATAATACTACTCATGGGATTGCTTCTGCTTTCATCCGTCACTTTAAAACCCTCTTCAACTCCCCTAAACCTTCAAATGCTGAGGATTTTGACATTAATCCGGGTAACTGCATTCCTCAAGACATGGTTAATCCTTTGACTGCCCCTTTTTCCTTTGAGGAGATAAAATTGGCTGTTTTTAGTGGGTGTGATTCCTCTACACCAGGTCCGGATGGTTACTCCTTTGCTTTCTATAAAAGAACCTGGCATATCACTGGTCCTGTCATTTGTAAGGCTGTCATGGAATTCTACAACACTGGTTATTTACCTAGAAGTGTTAAAGCTACGGCTTTGGCGTTAATTCCCAAAGGGGCACATGTTTCTTCCATATCCGACTTCCGCCCTATCTCTCTGTGCAATGTGCTGTATAAAATCATAGCCAAGCTGGTGGCTAATAGATTAAAGGTGGTTTTACCCACCATCATTCATGAAAGTCAAACGGGGTTCATCAAAGATCGTTGCTCAACAGACAATATTCTCTTAGCTTCGGAAATTTTAAAAGGCTTTAACAACTCTTTTTGTGCTAAGTTGGACATCCTCAAAGCATTTGATACTGTTTCACACGATTTTCTTTTCCAAAGACTTAGACAAAAAGGTTTCCCTGAGTTATTCATTAAATGGGTTAAAGGTTGCATTACAAATGTCTATTTTTCCATTTGCTTTAATGGAGCTTTGAATGGTTTCTTCAGCTCATCCTCGGGTTTACGGCAAGGGTGCCCGTTATCTCCTTTACTGTTTTGCATTGCTATGGATGGCTTCTCCTGTACCTTAGAGAATGGAAATCTGAATTTTCTGGGCACAAAAATGAAAGGTTTTTCCATTACGCATCTTCTTTATGCTGATGATGTTCTGGTTTTTGGCAAAGCTTCTACTCCAAATGCTGCATCTCTTGCGAAAGCCATTTCTGACTTCTCTAACGCTTCTGGGCTTTTCATAAATCATTCTAAAAGCTCTATCATTTTCTCCAAGGATGTCTCCAACGCTGCCTCCATTTGTGATTGCTTGGGAATCTCCAATCAGTGCTCTTACCTTAATTACCTGGGGATTCCTATTTCTACTTGCCGCCTCAATTATACTCACTTCCAGCCACTCGCGAGTAAAATTTTTACTCTACTGGATGGCTGGAAAGTTAAATTTCTTTCTTTTGCAGGTAGGGTCCAATTCATTAAATTCACCATTGCAAATTCTATTGCCTACTGGATTAGGGGTTCCATTATACCCAAAGCTTGTTGTAAAGTCATTTCTAGACTTTGCTCACGGTTCCTTTATCATGGCAAGATCAATGAGAAAAAGCTCCATTTGATCTCTTGGAGTTCTACTGCTTTGCCTACTTCTTTGGGAGGTATTGGTATTCCGTCAATTGATGCCCAAATTCATGCCAATCACTGCTCTTTTTTATGGAGATTCTTCACTAAGGATAACATGGTTATGGCTTGGTTTAGACATAAATATATATCCCCTTGGAAGCCTATTTCTACTTCTGCATCGAAATTCTGGAAAAAGATTCATGATACTGCTATTTTGATTAAAACAAAACTTTCTTTTTCTGCTTCTAAAGATTGCAATTTATCTATGGAATGGGATCATTGGTGCAATGGTAAAGCTCTTAAAGATATTATGCCTCACTTTAAATTTGAGAAAGGTTTTGTGAATTGCTACACTAACTGCAATGGATGGATGCTTCCTTCTTCCACTCCTAACTTGCTGCTATCAGAACTCTTGGAATGTAGCTTTAGCGAGAATTTGGAGATTTTCTGGGATGGTTCTCTTAATCCATCATTCTCTACCTTTTACAATAATTATTTTGGTTTATTAGAGGAAGTACTCTGGCATAAATTTATTTGGCATAAGAATAAATCACTCCGATTTTCGTCTTATGCCTGGATGGCTATGCTCGGTAAATTGAAAACTGCTGATCATCTTATTGTGAGAGGGATTGATGTTAATGCTGCTTGCTCCTTTTGTTCTAATGGTAGAGATTGTCATTCTCATTTATTTTTCAATTGTGACTTCTCATTCACTGTCATCTCCTCTCTTTTGCCGTCACTGGGTGCTTTTCTTCTAAGGCCAAATTTGATGCAGACATTTCAACACTTTGATGATTCTCTGGATTTCTGTAATTGGGAGAAAAACTTTTGTTTTTTCACTATTTGCTGCACCATTTACTTCTTATGGCGTGAAAGGAACTCAAGAAGGTTTGAGAATGAATGGAAAAGTCCATCTTACCTTATACACACTATTCGTCATGCTATTCTTACCAAGGTTAAATTCTGGAAACGATTTGATGATCTTAAAAGACGGTTTGTTACTCTCCTATAATAGCTGCTTACCGTATTCTGGTTGGGTCGGTTTCTCTCCTCCTCTCTTCATCTGGGTGATATTCTGGAGGGTGATTTATTTCAAATTATGCGTGGTTGAGTTGATTCTTTACAGTATATGGATGTGTTGGTTATGTTGTTGCCTGTGGACTGATAATTCTGCTGCATCCGTTAACTACACCTTTTTTCTGGGGAACTTGCTTCTTAGCGACACTATTGAATTTCATGGCTGTTATGTGGGTTCTTTCCTCTTTGAACCCACTAAGTTGACGATTCTGCTGCTGGCATTTGCTTCTACTTTTTGGGGGTGTCTGTTTTTGGCCCTTTACACAGATAGTCTGGGGAGATTAATTTTTAAAAGGACGATGATGAATGCTGATTCTTCAGCTACCCCTTGGACGGTCACTCTGGCAACCAGGGGTTTTTGTCCTGCCCAGTCCCTTCTCAAAGCCGTTCAATTCGATATTGGCAGGACAGCCTGAGTCCTTTATGGCTTCAAGCCAATTTTGTTTTTTTGCTGTTATGTAATTTCCCTTTTTGAACTCCTTAACTACTTTTTTAGTTAGGGAGTTATAGTTTTGGTTCTTACTTTACTTGTAACAATTTTTTTTAATGAAAGGGCTAAGCCCCAAATTTTCCCAAAAAAAAAAAGGATGAGTATGAGCACTAATAGAATCATTTAAATATGTATTGAAATATGCTCATTTATTACTTATATAAGTAGCTTGCAAGAAATTATATATATATATATACCATGTACTCATCTGTCTGACCAGAAATTATTCTGTGCGGATACCGGACCGTCAGGAGACGAATGAGAGCGCACCACATCATCTGGTACACAGCACAAGTACACAACAAATATATGAGGTAGTGCTCTCTCATTCATTTTCAAACGCCGTCAGGATCCTCACAAAATAATTTTTCTTGTCTTAGACACTCCATTGATTATGTTAAAGAATCTTACACTCCATTGATTACATCAGATATTACTCCTAATGATAGAAATCATATTGTACCAACATATATCATATTTCTCTCTTAAAAATTTACTCAGATCTAATGATGATTTCTTTTTCACTTTTCACTAATGGTGTGGAGATAAAATATTGTTGATTTGGCATTTTCACAATGAAGCTTTTGCCTATCTTTGATAATATTTCTTCCTTAACTTTAGAAAAAAATAAATAGGAGGTAGGTCTTAGTCAAACTCAGCCAATCATCTCCAATTCATAGCTTGTTATGAAAAAGCTTTCAATGAATGAAGGCAATGAAGACTAGATACTTCTACTATTAAAATAGTTCGGCTGTTTGAAGGAAACAAACAAGAAGAAGAAAAGATATAGATATAGTCAACTAGTATACACTGAAGTAGAATTAAATTGTCTCTTTCAACACAGCTTCAAAAATATCATCTCAAGTGAACTGCATGCTTCCTTTCTCTTTGCTTTACAAGCAGCTTCGGTGACTTGGGTTTTGTTTTTTCCTTTGTTGACCTGAATTAACAGCACATTTTAAAGTACTTTTAGCTCCTTAAGATGCAATGAGAGCAAAAAAGTATATAAATTGCTCACTTTTAAGGGTGGAAAGTAACAAAAAATTGTATATAATTTGCTCACTTTTGGGGGTGGAATGGATTGTCAAACTTGGGAATAGGCCTGGCATGTGGCACCATTGTTCTTCTCATCTGTTTGATTACTTTTTCTTCTTCAATCTATTTATTTATTTTTTCAAAAAATAAAAATTATGAGAAGCGCACAATATAGTTAATGATAAATAAACAATGCAATGTTTTTTACCATCTTTGCATTCTCCTGCTCCTCCCTAATTCTTTTGCCAGTCAATTCTCTCTCTTTCATCTGCAATCATAATTTGAGAATTCATAAAGATAATTCCATTGCGCGCTCTATGAGCCGAATTTCACAAATACTTATGCATTTTAGTTCTTTTCTGAATATCATAGAAGATTTTAACTCAGAAACACAACTCAATATTCTCTTACCTTCTTATCAAATTCAGATCTTTCCACAGCCCTATGATCCACATGCAATACAAACTCCTGGACATCTGTGAGAGGCTTTCGTTCTCTTTCTGGAAGTGGAATGGGATCCCTGTCATAGAGAGACATTCATTAATTTAAAATATATTTGAATGTACATTGAAAAGCTGATGAAAATTATCCTATACGACACAGACTCTTTCATTATAGGATGTGCTATGAATATTCTTCTCTCTGCCTCCTCCCTTTCCATTCTTTCCCTCTCTTCTCTCATTTTGTGCATCTCCTCTTCATGTCTGATTATGCTATCCAAGTGGAAAGCCACTGGCTTTGTGCTTTGTTTCGGCTGAGGTTTTGGTGGCATCTAAGAGGTTTTGGTGACATATAAGTAAAATACAAATGACTAACTAATTTTCAAAATGAATGGAAGGAAGAAATTCTCTCTTACAGCAGGATAATCCGTAGTATAAGGATAAGGATTCGCCTTGGGAATCCTAGCTTTCTCTTCTTCCAACTGCTTTTGTAAGATTTGAATTGTAAACAATTTCTCTTTCTCAAGTCCTCTTTCCTGAAAAATTAAATTTAGTATAAATGATCATTTTTGGCTGCTTGGAATTTGAACTCTATGTTTAACAAACCTCTGTATGCAGATGGAAAGGATTTGGCTTTGTGAGTTTGGGAATGCCTTGTTGGCTATGATGAGAAGAGTCCGAATAAAGTGAAAGCTGGTAAAGGGAGAAAACAACGTCAGTCATATTTCTACTTCAAATATATACAAAGCTAACAAGTTTCTCATATATACATACCTTGTCAAAGTTCTCTATCATCATAGTTGAAGGTGGAGGGCCCAACCTATCATTCGTAGCAAAATGGAACTCTTGTGGAGTTGTAATTTGTGATTTGGATTGACAGAGTAATCCGAGATCTCCCTTACTTTCAAAAATCTGCATTTTGATATACTTTGAGACAACATGTAGGAATAATGAAGTCCGAACTTGTATAAAAAGAAAACAAAAAAAAACTTTATCTATGTAAACAATGTGACAACACACAAACCTTCTTGTTGAGTGGCCTGGCCTTAAACTTGGGAATATTTTCAAATTCCTCCAGCTCCAGTTCCTGTGAGCTCTTTGTCCTATGTTTCCAAATAAATCATGGATGAAATGAGGAAATATTTAGTTAAGCGCAATTCTAGATTATATGGCTTTTCAAGTTTGAAAGATTCATACTTCGTTGGCCGTGCCCTTAATGAAGTCTCAAGAATAGGTGGTCTTGGTTCAGTAAGCTTCAAGGGTTTGCAGTGGCTCTGTTACAAAACAATGTCACTCAATATTATGCTAAAAAAAACTTAGAGAATTCACCTAAGATCCTAATGTAGATGAGACAAACAATAAAATGTTATTTGTCATTTTTTTCAACTTGAACAATGTTTTATACCTGAGAAGAAGCATCAGCTGAAGAGAAAACAGAAGCTGTTTCAGCATGTTGATTTGCTCTTTCCATGGTCTTCAAGTGAAATTCCTACAAAGATTGAACAGAAAATAAAGCTTTTATATAACAAGACCTCGATTTCACAACAACCATGTAGCTTGAGAATCTATTTGTTACATGAAAATCTGGCAGTTGGGGAGTGCTTCTGGGCAGTATTGGTAGTGATGAAGCTTCAAGAATCTGAACAGGGAACAAATTACGTTATGCAATTGGAAAACCAAAAGCAGAAACTTATGAAGGAAAAAAATTGCATTTTGCAAAGAAACTAATCTGACCTTCTTGTTTAATGGACGAGCTTTAAACCTTGGCAGCTTCGCCAACATCTCCTCCTCAAGCTCAGCGGAGCTCTTAATCCTTACGGCTCGAACTCGTTGAGCTGTCTCAAGTTCTGGTTCTTTTGGCCTTGTCAAGGTAAGTTTTGGCCTCATTTGAATTGAGCTAAATGTATCCTGATTAGGAACAAGTGATTTATCAATCCTTCAAGCCACTTCAAATATTCTTAACATAAAGAGATCACTTTGTAATGGATAATAAGTATTTTAGAACATTAAAAAAAAAAGTTTGATATATATTCATGGTTGATTCATCGTCAGCACAAATTTCCTTCACATCAAATCACCAGCCAAACAAGTCTCTAAAGTTCTAATTTAAGAGCAAAGAGAAATTCATCCAAATGTATCAAACCTGTGAAAATGATCTATTCTGTGGTAGCTCAATTTCTCTGGTTCTAGACTGAAACTTCTGAACCATCTCTGCAGTAGAAACGTATGGTGCTACTTCCTGTACCAAAAATCTCTAATTACAGTTTGCAGCTAATAGACCATACAGATATGCTAACTTCATTCACGTAAAATAACATTTGGGTTATGTGGATACCTTGCGTTGCTCTTGATGACCTTTAATACCTAAAGTAAAAAATTCATTTCCTCCAGATAAACCTGGCTTGGATTTGTGCAGCAACACTGGAGCTTTGACATTGTGTATCTGAGAATAATGAAATCATACAACTATGTTAACACAATCTAGTAGAATAAGTTCAGAAGATGTTATGATCAAAATATAACACTTACTTTCTTAGAACCTCCGCCTTCCAGTTTCTGCCTCTTAATGGCTTGATTATCCTGAGAAATATCAATAGATATTGCATTTTTTGCACGGATACTACCAGGACATCTGCTAAAGAGAAAGAAAACGTTATAGAGGGCAAGCATGTAACCAAGCTTGGAAAGTGAAAGAACAAAATGAAAGCATTGTCACTTACTTGGTGGTGCTCTTTTGGGGCTTGATGGCTCCAGTGGGTTGAGCAGGAGTGCAGTTCTTAGGCTTTAATCCAGAAGGTTGCTTAATCAAGCTAGCTTCCTTTTTAGCTGTTTGATTTCTCGAACCCCTTGGAACCGACATTTCTTGGGGCCTTAGAAATTTTGGAGTGAGAGCTCCATTTACAAACTCCTTACTATCTTGGCCCGATTTGGTGATTGTAGCTGCAGAGTTGTAAGCAAATCGGCATAATATTTGAAGGAAGTGGTTGTAGAAAAGAAATCAATGAGAAGGTTTATATCTTGATTATTGATACCTGGGGCTGCAGCCACATCAAGAACCGGAAATGCGAATGTAGAATCACAATTGAGGCAGACCTCTGATGTTGAACTGCAATAAGGATGAAAATAAAAGTAAGTAAGTCATCCTCAGTTTGTATGGGCTTAAAAAGAAAAAAAAAACTGACAAAGTGTTGTCTAGAGGAGCACACACATCTTATCTTCCTCACGAACAATATTACTTCCACTGAGCTTAGCGTCAGAAGCCTAGAGAGCAGACAATGGATTTCAGAAGAACGAAAAATTGAACTCTAAAATTGGAAAATTGATGGCATTCTCCTACTTATGTGAGGTAACTTCACTTACAAATCCAAAAGAACCGTTTCTATCAATTACTTCGATGTCCACAGTGATCTGCAGCTCACCAGCACTATATCACAAGAAATTAAATGAATCTAAAAAGATTTAAGCGAAATCAATAATGATAACAAAAGTACCAGCTTTCTTACTTGGCGTTGGAATCTTGTTCAGCTCCGTGGTTGCCTGCTTCTACAGCCTCTGGCTCCTGCCATAAACGCAACGACAATTATAATCATTGCTTTCATCATTGAAACACATTCAAACATTATCTTTGATTGATTCTTTGACAAAGAAGAAAAAGGAAAATGGGCTGCGTTAAAAGAATTACCTTCTGGATTTTTTCTTCAAATCCTATATCGCAAGGACAATCTATAACCGGTCTACCCTTCCTTATCTTTGGCATGGAAGCTATCCAAATAAAAGAAAATTGGAATTAGCCATTTATTGCTAACTAAAATGTGAAACAGTCAAGAAAAACTCGTAGCATAAACCACTAAGCTAGTAAGCTCTATCAAGATCTTCTATAGTCCAATCTCGAGATAGTTTCTCAAAACTGTTCAGGTATAAAAAAAACATAAAAATCTCTTTGTTAGATCGATGAACGATTAAACCAATCAAGATCCAATCTTTTCTAGTTTCGAACATCTCAGGACGGAACCTTAGTATATAAGATTCAAAATCGTGAAAAAAATATGGAAGCAAAGTGAAGACTTACGGGAAGGGCCATAGCTGAGGGAGGTCTCGAACCATCGCTCGGCCTCTTGGATCTGCACCTCGGTCTCCTTGTTGAGGAAATCAAAGAAGCGAGGAGCCGAAAACTCGTACGTATCGTCGACCTGGAGATTGGCTTCCATGGGAACTACAGGAAGGAGGTTTCTAAGGTCTCTGACTTAGGGTTTCAGGGTTACGCCGAGAGAGCGTGAGGAGTCTTGAACTCGGGCGAAAGCAATTAAGGCTCTTTCTTTTTTACAATAATGGGGATTATTTGCTTATTTGTGTAGAGCGCAACGGTCGACTTTAACGGTCAAATTTTATTTTATTTTTTTGAAATCGGGGTCTGAAAGGGAACATGGAGAGATGCGGAGATATACCTCATTGGTCATTACCACCCACAACGGTTCTCTCACGAGAGTAGGGCCCACTAGTGCCAAACACTATTAGTGAATATTTAGTAATAAGCAATAATAAAATCGTCCCAAATTAAGTCTTAATTTTTTTAATAAAAAATAATTTTAAGAAGCAATAAGAAAACCGTCATAAACAAAGCCTAATTTTTTTTTCTGGAAAATCTTTTATATTTTTAAACCTATAAAATCTACTATAAGAAACAATAAAAAAAATGTTCCAAATAAAATCTTTTTTTTTTTTTTTTTTCAGTTTGTTTTCTCAAATCTAAATAATTAGTATTTTTATTTGTCATTTTTTTATTCATGAAGATTATCAGGTGAAGAGCAATACACTTTAAGAGACATTATTCATTCTCAATTTCTCATCAATTATTAAGAACTAAAATAGGAAGCTAAAAACCCGAATTCAATTACAATCTATCATTTATAAATTTATTTAAGGAGTTAGTTTTAGTTATTCAATAAAATATTAAAAAATAAACTCATTTCTTTAAAAATGGAATTATTTGCAAAAAATTTCTTGTTTAAATAATAAAATGAATGATGTGAAAATTTTGAAGTCACAAAAACTATTTATAGTGAAAAGGTATTCGAGGTTCAATTTTTGCTAGTTTTATTACTTGTATTTTTTTTTTGTTAGTGAAAAAAGTTTTAACAAGTGGTATATATAAGAATAAGAAAATATTTCTATTAAATAATTATTTTTTGTGATTTAAATCTATCTTTGACTACTAAAATTTACTAATAAGTATAAAAAGAGTTTAAAGAGAGAAGTTCATGAATTTCAATTAATAATAAAAAAGTATTTGGCTTACTTTCAAAGCCCTTAATTACGAAAAATTATTAGGTCCGGACACCTGACGTAGCTCTACATCCGGACGCCAATAACATGTAGCCACGTGCTCTTACTCTTTACCGCGCGGCTCGACGACCCGGACCCGGTATTGCTATGTATTGGCTGATTTGTGCAGACCGAAGTATTGCTAGGTATTGCTAGGCATTGCTCGATATTGCTCGACAATAACGAGAAATACCAATCTGTCAAGACCAATACCTAATAATATCGAGTTATATTGAGCAATACCTAGCAATATCCTGGTTTTGCTAGGTATTGCTCTGTATTTCTCCGCATTGCTAGGTATTGGTCTTGACATAACGGTTTTTCTCGTTATTGCCAAGCAATATCAAATAATACCTAGCAATACCGAGCAATACCTAGCAATACCCGAACATAGCAATACCGGGTTCCAGTCTGGGTCAGGTTGTCGGGCCGCGCGGTAAAGAGTAAGAGCACGTGGCGATATGTTATTGGCGTCCGGATGTAGAGCTACATCTGGTGTCCGGACCTAATAATTTTTCCTTAATTATAGGTTTGATAGAGGCATAATGATACAACAAGACTTAATCAATGGTTGTTGTAACATCAATAAGTTTAGCTAGCTTATAGCTTTTCAATTACATAGAGATATAATGATACTTCATTTGGCAAGTTGACCCAACAATTTTAAATCCTGAGGTTGCATAGATCTTGGCAAGCGCAATAGAAAATGTTTCAAATAGCTTAGTATGGTATTAATAAATAATATGACCTGAAAAATTTGAGTTTGGGACCTTGGGTTGACAAGTTTAATAAATGGGTTGGGTTTAGGTTTGAAATTTCGACTCGCTTATTAAATGGGTTGGGTTTAGTCGACATGCAAACCCGCTTTTAACCCGAAATAACATTCTTAATATTTTTTTCCTTAAATTCTTTTTGCTTGTGAGTATGTTACTCTTATTTCTGATCAAATAAACTAAAATGTATAGCTGATGACTTATTATTTTTTTTAACCAAAACGGATTGAAAGAATTGGTTTTAGGTCATTCGGGTTGCTTGAGGGTCAATTTTGAGTCCATCTTCTGACCTTTTTATTAAACAGTTTACTCGAGTTGACTAGATTCAGGTCAAGTTAATTTCACCCTGTCAACTCATTTTGACACAGCTTAGGCAATTTGAACTAATTTGTGAGAACATTGTATATTTTGGCCACGGCTTCTTTGTGGCAATTTTATCCTCTTCAATTGATGAAATTGCACTATCTCTTGTTCTTTGTGGTCCATGAGATTTGGTGAGCCGATCTAGGTGATATTGTGTATACTTATAATTTATGTTTCTATTATATTTGAATAAATTCATAAAATAATAAGGAAAAAAAATGTTATCCATATAAGTTGACATATCAATTAAGACTGATTATGTTGATTTTATATATGGTTAACACATTGATTGATTCAAGTCTATAAATACCCCTCAAGTTCAATCATAAATCCTTTTCTAAACCTCTCTTTTACTTTAAAGATACAAAGAAATTCAACTAGTGTCCTAACAAAGAAGTCATTGAAATATTGTTGGGGAGCTACCAGGACTAGTCTAAAACAAATAAAACTACACCTCTCAATTTAGACCTCACATTTCATGACTTACTCACACCTTTCTTCCCAAAATTCCTCAAAAACCTTAGAGAAATCTCAACGTCATTCATTCCCTTTCATCAGAATTACCGAATCAACATTTCCAACCCCTTAACCACATCCCCATCTCTCTTACACATTCTAAATCACCCTTATTCGAGCCCTCACTACCTCCGGGGAACTATTGGGTCCGATCACAGTACGCCATCAGGAGCCAATGAAAATGCGTCACATCACCCTCCGCTCAGTACCGAGCTCAGTATACTCGATACTGTGAAGTACCGAACTCAGTACTTCACAGTACCGAGCTCAGTACCATTCGGTACTGTGAAGTACAAACGCTAAGCTGTGTTGGATGTCCGAACCCAATAATTTCCCCACTACCTCCTAAGTTCCATTAAAAACCCATCTACAAGTGCTCTTTTTTCAGCAACCGCCACTTCCCCTCACCCCCACTCCAAAAACATCCCCATTCATACACTCATCATCCTCCCATCACCTCAAGAGCTCTATCCTAATCCAATTGTATAGCCCGAGGTCATACTCCAACAATTTTATACAGTATGAATTATTGTCACATGCAAAAAATGGAATTAAAATTATTATCCAAAACTAATTTAATAAGGCAAAATTCTACCCAAATGAAATTCCATCTACTATTTTTAATGTAAAAGAAGAAGAAGAAGTACCAATGGTGTGATAATTGTAAGGAAATTCTGCCTCTTCTAAAGGGAATAAAGTATATAATGAAGGAGCAACATCAAAACATATTATTGCTTGTTCTTGTATTAATTAATTCCTAGCAAACCTTCACAATTACCATTTCTTATGAACAAGCTCTTTGCCACCCAATGAGAATCAATGGCAATATATAGAAAGTATCATAGGCCTTCAATCATATCATATGGATGTTTGCTCATACATCAATAATCCCCTTCATTTAAAAATGAACTATTACATGTGAACACACTAATAAATGAGAGTTGCATTTACGTAAAATTTTTCAACTTAGAATCTGTTTGGGATAGCTTTTTGGTTGCTTAGCATTCTGATAGCAATTATAATTTTATTTTGTTACCACTTTCTCACTATTTTTTCAAAAATTTTGTGATAAAAAACTATTTTTTGCAATAATAGTCGTAAAATTATTTTCTCCATAATAATTTCACAATCAACTTTATAGAATGATGCAGCCATCCCAAATAATAATTTCACAATCAACTTTATAGAACGATGCAGCCATCCCAAACAGATCTGTGTGACATCATAACACTTCTTCATGAAGTTGTTTTGCTTCTTTGTTTAACTTTGTTTTATTGTTATTTATCTTGAAACTATTCACACACTCATTGTCATAGGTGACAGATTAATATCAAAGCAAAATATATAAGAATTTTGAGAAAATTAAAAGAAAATATATAATTTTGATATCCCAAGCAATGCAACATAAATGAATTAATAAATGAAATATAAAAATATTTATTTATTAGAGCATTTACAAAAACAACTTAAGCATTTTCAGATATAGATAAAGTGCAAGAAACTAGTTTCAATCATACCACTCCTTGCATTTACAACCAATTATACATAATAATTATTGAAATATTCAAGAATCTTCTATAAAAAGTAAATGCATTTAAAAATTAATACAATTTATGTGAAACTTTGTTTTTAGGTCAACTGTATTTGTAAATTTTGCTTTCACTTAGGGGCTATTTGATTTCTTGAAAAAAAGGATGAAAGGTTAAAGGAATACATTGGAGTAATTTGGATGAATGTAAAGTAAATGCAAGCGAATGATTATTTTTGTTTGGTTAGAAGAAATGAATGTAAAGTCCTATATAGTGAAGGCCAACAGTGGCGAGCGACAGAGGGCGGCGATGGCTGGCAATTGTGGTGGCTGACGTTAGTGGCGGGCGAAGGAGGGTGGCAGTAAAGAATGGTGGAAGCGGGCAGCTAGCAAAGGGTTGTGGCCGACGCAGGGTAGCGGCGGGTGTTAGTTAAGCAAACTTGTGATGTAAACACAAAATTTTGTAAAACCCCAACATTTGATAATCTGAGAGTTTATTTTACACTCAAAATGAACTACTTCACTTTATATTACTCTTACTATACTTTGCATCATTTTGTATTCCCATGAAACACTAAATTTTATAAAACCCTTATATTTGAAATACTTTACACCCTAAAATAATACAACCCAACAGCCCCTTATAACAAATTGAGTTACAACACCCAATACTCCTCGACTTACTAAAACAATCACAAAAAAATTTAAATCATCTCTAATTTGAGCTTGCCTAATTAATCGAGCTTAAACTCGAGCTTAATTCTACAAATTAAAAAAGATTCATGAATCCACTCATTTACAACAAAAAAGAAAAAATTATTATTATTCAAACAATTATTATAATAAAATTCTAAAAAAGAAAAATAATTTAGAATATATATAACAAAGAATCACTTAATATAACAAAATAAGATTTCAAAAGCTTTATATTTTCACTCTTAAATTCAAATATATTTTGCAATAATATTTTTAAAACGAGCGGCCAGCTTACGAGCTAATGAATCAAGTCAAGTCAAAGGCTATCTTAAGCTCAACTCACAAGTTATTTATTGATTCACAAATCGACTTGATTCACTTACGCCCCTAATTCAAATGACTGCATGCAAAATGATCAAATAGAATACTGCATATATAACTGTATAATCAATTAAAATTAAAATATAAAATCATTGCCAATTGAAAATTGTACAAACGGACATTCATATTGTTCCAACGAGAGAAAATTTCAACAGCAGGGGATAAGCAAAAGAAAAGTTTCTCAGGGAAAAAGAAGCAGAAGTAACAATATGACTGAAACAAAAACTGTCGGTGACAGATTAACATACCAGCATAAAAAAAATGAAGTAAAATTGTACATTATTTCCACAGTTCTTCCATGGGAATTCCACGTTCCCGAGCAACATCTCTGAACTGCCTCATCTTCTGGACAGCAATGACTGTAGCCCGGGCATTGTTGAGGGCATTCTTGCTGCCAATCTGCTTTCCAAGAGCATTCTCTACTCCAGCCATTTCTAGCACAACCCGCACCGCTCCTCCGGCGATGACGCCGGTGCCGGGTGAAGCTGGCCTCAACATCACCTTAGCTGCTCCATAATCTCCATCAGATCTGTTAATCCATGCCAAAATTGGGAAGAAGTGAGAATGAAAGCAAGAAACAATGCCATAAGTGGGTAGGACACAAAGTTGGATTGTTTTATTGGTTTTGATATAACATACAACAAATGCAAATATCTACAAGCTTTGTAGCGGGAGGAAGTGAATATTGCAATATCCTACAATTAGCAGTGGTCTATCCTACAATTAGCAGCTGACCTACGGATTTAAAAAAGAGATGACGGAAGGCTTGTAATGTATACGACGCTCCACTCACAAGTGACATGTCATCTACAATCCAAAGCAATAAGTTGTGGAGAGTGTAGACACTTGTAAGCAACGACATAAGACTGGAAGTACACGCGATAGCATCGACCACCAAGCTTATCTTGTTGGGTCAATAAGTGAAATCAAGTTTGAACACGATCCTTCTATGTGGGTCAGTAGGAGTCGACACGGTTCGAATTGTCGAACAAATATAGGATCATGACATTGACCGGGTTATTTGTTTTATATGTTCATATTAGACTTTCAAGGTATACAACAAAGAAAATTCACCAATAAATGCATAAAACCTGCAAAGAACTCAATCATCTATCAGAAAATAGACAAAGTTGACAATGTTCAATCAACAAGTGAAATCACTCATAATCATCCCGATGATGGCCATGTTAAATGTTATCTCAACGAGGGATTCCAAAAATTTAAAATACCTCCCAAATTTCCAAATCCAATAAAAAATTTAAATTTTAAAAATATGAAAACCTAAAATACTAAAAATAAAATAAATTATCAAACACTTAAAGCAAAAATCCATCCACCCTCTACAATAGTTTGCCTAGGTGGACAATTTGAAAATTATTTTAGCTTACAAAGAGTTAATGCCCGGTCGAAAATATCACTAGGATTCATTCTTAAACCATCTCTGGCCAGTAAGGGCGTGGCACGTATCCTCTAACTAGTGATTTTACAGCCAAACGGCACCACACTGTGAGTTTCGTTGCTAAATAAAATCATAAGTAAATGGTTATGATCGGGACCCTCTGAACCGAATGATTTTGTCACCAAATGGCACAACTAAATCACGATCATAGTAAGAGCTTGTATGCTCCCCAATGATGTCAAATCCTTGAGATATGAATCAATATAATATGATCGATAGAGCACAAAGCCCTTTGTTAGCTAAGATGGATTCAAAGTTGTCCCCTCAGACAAATTTTCACCACATATCTATAAGGTACCTTTAGACGAAGCAACCCATAGCTGTCGACAAGGATTTTCGGTCAACTTGGGTCGACTATCTCCTCTGACTAAGTAGACTAGGGACCATGATAACCCGGGACGACTAAACCATGGGATTTTGATAGGGTTCATCATCATTTCCCCACCATCTGCTTTAAGTGAAGGTGGTAAATTTTTTTAATTTTAAATATTAAGCTTCCAAATACCAAACCATGCTGCAACCATACATCATATACCACATATCTCTATGTATCTGTCTGACGACTAGCCTTAATCGAAAATTCTCTCCCGCTATTGGGAGGGGTAATTAATTATAGGGGCTTGCGCCTATAGAAAACTTAAACTCATATCATAAAGTCCTCGCAAAATGAGGGAAAAATTTTTGGGTAGTGTTTTATCTACAAACCCAATATGCCTTCTAAAAATTTGCCTCATAACTTACTCATTAAAACTTTCCTTGACAACCTGAAGAAAATGAAAGAAAGGAGGTCCACAGAGAGGCCGGGCGCGAATTTTCGGAGCCCACACAAAACTTCAATAACACAATTTTATGTAAAAGAACAAGGGAAAGCTTTTAAGCTTATGCCAATAGATACTACAAATTTTGCGGCAGTAATGCAATGATTTACATTCCTCAATAAAGATCAGCAAGAAAATAGAACTGACACTACAGCTTGTAGAATTTTACTTTTTTAGCATTTTTTCAAGAAAGTATGCATAATAAATATTGCAAGCATTATTGAAGCAGAATATTGTTTCCATGCAGTACATAGAAAATTGTCTATAAAACATGATGAAAGACACAACAGACCAACAAAATCAAGTGTTCCAGATCCAAAACTACAAGCAGTCAACACCTAACTTCAGAAACAACTGAATAGAGTAAAAAAAACAAAGTAAAAGCCGAATAATATCACGTAAATTATCTTAAGGAAAAAAGAAAGAAAGCATGAAGTCCACAAATTGCATTTGCCTTATGCAAAGTTTAAATAAGTACATCAAGATATCCTTTTATTTATTCATACAGAAAGATAGAGGACTTCACAAAAACAAATATAAGCACACAATAGGCTGAATTAGCACACTACTGGAGTAAATAAGCACTTAAGCAAAATGTCAAATATTGCCTAAAGCACCCAGCCATGCTTTGCTCTAGACCGTTACATTATTACATATCTCCTGAGATTGAGGTATATATTGTCATGGCTAGAATAGAGGTCATTGGATAATAAAAAAGAACAAATTCCAACAATATTTATTCTGAATGGAATAGAAAACCAAATACGGCTTAGATTTGGGAGATCATGGTTTCTCATGGGCGAAAGCCACTATGGCTAATTGTTTCTCGGGTATGATACCAAAGCACTCTCGATTAAGGATGTTCAATACATATTATTGATTCAACATAAATGGTTCAAACAGGTGAGATACAAGTTCAAACAGGTGAAAGATGCCCACAAGAGGTAAATCAACGAAGAGGATAGGAATGTCAGTAGTGGCAGAATTTGGTTTCATCCCTCAAAAAGTCTGTGTAAGAGTGGGTTGATTAGACTTAGAATGAAAAGGACGAATGTTTGTTTTTATAATTTAGTAAGAAAATAATCAAGTGGTCAAGGAATTCAAATTAGCTTTATTTAATTTTAATTTTAAACATAATATTTATCTTATGAACCCACTTGAGTGTCCAAAACATCACAAAGCATCACAAGCAATAGATAGAAAAAGCAATAAATCTCAAATTATGGCATGCAATGAGATGGAAGGGAGAAAAGCAGTACGCATTCCAAATGCTCACTAGCTTAAGCCTTTAACCTAGCACTCTATGGGCAATGCCCACAGCACAACACAGACATAATGAAAAAAAAATTAATACATGAAAATACAGGTCACTTCATTAACCCGTTACCTACAAATATTTATTGCAAAGCTACAAATAAAACCTTAGATACCTATACATAAACATTGATAATATAGTGCAAATCCCAAGGAAAATTTGCAAGGCATAAACTGAGGAGTGAACATGTATGTAAGAGTGTGCTTATGTGCATGGTAAGCAGACTATGATAATACATGCCATCCGGTTTATCTAATCCACAAAATTAGCTCTAAGTTTTTGTAATTAGGATGGCTAAGTGACCAAAATAAGAAAATTTAATCAAACGCTCAGGATAATGATAGGAAATACTTGAGTTCGCAAGTAACCCTAAGATAATACTTGAGTTCGCAAGCAAACCTAGAAAACTTGGAGAAGAATGATGGAATTCACTAATAGATGCAAGAAGACAATAAAAGATACAATGCTCTTCGATTCAAGAGGAAGAACAACTCTCCACAAGTTTCTAGCAAACACTAGAGCCCAAGCACACGATGAGATCTCAAACATTCATTCAAATTCAAGATTTCCTCCTAAGCTCCTCATTAACATCAAAGGACAATTACAAACTTCCTAAACAGCCCCCTTCGTTCAAATTTTCCCTCCTAAGTTTGAATTAATCCAAGCATGGTCCACTTAGGGCTTCCGCCCCCTCCTTGCCTCTCAGTTTTCCGCCCCCTGTGGGGCCCACCAAGTGTAGACAAGGATCGGTTGGACCGGTCCAGCCGACCCCTCCTGGGCCGGCGGCATATCAGATAACAAAGAAAGTGTGGGGAAATCATAGGGACGAATTCTGGAATTTCTTCCATTTTACGAGCATCATTTCCTAATTTCCACAAACCAAATCATAACTTGAGAATATAGAAATTTAGCAATACAAAGGCTACATTAGATCGAGTTTGGGTTCAGATTGAAAACTCAATGTAATATGAGTTTTTAAAACAAAATGTGCCTCGATGATATAAGTATTTAAGTGACTTAAAATCATCACTAAATTCTTCAAACCCATACGTTTTTGATAATTTAAAATTTTCTATCATCAAAACTGAAATGACCCATGGAAAAGGGGGTCAGCATTCAGCAATAGCCATTTGAAAAGGCGAGAAAACCATTGGTTGTGGGCATAAGGCCCAATACAAAATAGTGTTTAAACATTGCAACAAGTTAGCCTTGGCTAGTGCAGGACCATGTGCTAGGTGTTTGGTCAAATTGATGAGTCATCGAGGAGTTTAGTGTCACTCAATGCACATGTAAGAAAGATTTTGGCCTGAAGATTCGAAATCATCAATTGGGGGCCAACAAAAGTGATGGTACTGTAACAAGAAGTTCAAGCAATGAGGTTGTCGGGTCGACGAGCTATTAATTCAATGGGTAGTGAAATTTTGGGAAGACCGGTGATACCTAGAGGTAAGACAATAGCAAGTCATCTCTTCAAAGATGACAAGTTGTCTCAAGGTGGATCACAAGCTATTTCGAGTGAGGATAAGGGCAAGATATCTCAAGGTGAGACAATGAGTAATTTAATGATGAGGCAATGATAAATTGTCTCAAAAGAGATTATAAGTCATCCAAGAATGAGATGATGGCAAGTCATACCAAGGCAAGATGATAAGTCACCCTAGGATAAGATAACATCAAGTTGTTCCATGGAAAGATCATAAGTTGGCTTGGGATGAGATGATGACAAATCATCCTAATGCTATGTGACAAGTCATTCTAGGATGAGACAATCGCAAGTCTTCTTAAGGAGAGATGATAAGCCATCCAAGATAAGACAATGACAAGTCTTCCCAAGATGAGATGACATTTCTCATAATGAGACAATGCCACATCGTGCTAAGGTGAGATGATAGTTCATCTTAGATGATGACATAATGGCAAGTCATCATAAGCCAAGA